AAAAAAAAAAAAAAAAAAAAAAAAAAAAAAAAAAAAACCCAAAATCACAGAGAGAAAAAAACCGCATGCCACATTTTTCCGAAGAACATTTAGAGAAGAATCACATCGTCCGTACACACACCATCATCGGTAGAGGACCAAGTTGAATGGAAAGGGAAGAAGAACGAGAGCGAAAAAAAAGGAGGTGCGAGACACTGGGTGTACGGAGCGGCGTGGCCCCGAAGATTATTGTAGCTGGACGCTGCGCTGGCGCGCACGGAATTAAAATATGGGGCGCGCGTGTCTGTATGCCCACCATCTGCATTGTTCAGCCCCCGTAATACCAAAGAAGCGGTTGTACAGATAAAAGTGTCTTTTTTTTTTTTTTTTTTTTAATTATTTTCGTTAACTAGTGAAGTTCCTTGCGAGTAGGCGCGGAAGTGGATTATAAAAATGTGTTGTTAAAATGAGTGAGTTTTGGAAAGAAAAAAAAAAAAAAAGTGAATCGATAAAAGACTTTTGTGAATCGAGTCTCTTGTGTTGTCTCGATTATTTCTCGAAAAAGAAAAAAAAAGGGTTTTATGAAGACGAGAAATGTGTAATAAAATGAACGATAAACAAAAGACATTTGAAAATGGATTCGAATTTATTATTTAGATTTATTGATCCCGGGTCAGCGACTCGAGCGCGATTTTTTTTTTTTTTAATCTACTATATAATATATACATACGATATGCGAGCGTAAAAATGCATAAGTGTGCCTGTAAGGAAAAACAAAAAATTTGCGTGAGCAATTGATGAATGGTGGTTAAAGTAAGGGTTTTTTTTGCGCAATAGAGAGAGGCGCGAAGGTTGAAAATTGATAACAAACAAAAAAATGGTAACGATTAACGAGACCAAAACAACAACAACCGCACACAGACACAAGTAATAGAAGGAAACTTCGAGGATACTCAGTTTTCATTCCAACTTTGATCATATGAATTATGGTAACTGTACAAAACTGCTGCTACTACCACTACTACGATACTTGAACTAAAATACGAATAAGCCATTACACAGCTAGGTTATTCATACTGTACACACGTGCATATATATATATATACATACACAGAGGGAGATGAGTTGGGCCCATCGGTAATTTAAGGTAATCATTACCTCTAGTAATATTACTTTCAAGAACCGATGGAGACTCGGACTCGAGTAACCTCCCGAAGTACCAAATTTTTGGCATTGCCTTGGACAAAAAAAAACAACACCCCCGAAACCTCGGCCCAAAAACTCCCCCGGGTTGTTTTTTCACGGGAAACCAGCCGATTTCTCCCTCCATGGCTGAAATACGGTTCGAACGATTCACCTCACCAATCAAAACAATTGTAGTCTTTGTCAAGACAGCACGCGCCTCCCCGAGGACGCGATTACCCCGGAAAAAAAAAAAAAAAAAAAAAAAAAAGAAATGATCGACTTCGCGGCACCTCGATTTGCATTTAAGTACAAATTGATATACCGTTTTAAAGATACACGGGATGTAGATTAAAGATTTACAAAGTATATAGTTCGTAGACGTCGATGTACAAAGAACGACAAAGGAAGGACACGGAAGTAAAAACGGAGGGAGCGCGAGAGGGACGACGAGGCCCGGCAAAGATTCATATTTATACAGAGATTTGCGTATGTAAGTATATATAATATAATATATATATATATGGGCAGCCTCCTCGTCTCTCGCTCCTCCGCTCTTTCTCTCTCGCGTGACGAAAAGTACAATCGTGGGTACATTTGTCTAGGTTTGGAGGAAATCGATCAATCGAACAAATTAAAAATACGTCAAGACAGAGATAGTAGCAAAAAGAGGGGGAGATATATGTGTAAGCGTGTATAAGTTTATTTTTGATACATTGTTAGTGGGGAAAGATCTGAGTGTTTAGCGTATGATGTTTCATTTCGTGTCGTGATTTTGTTTTAAATTTCGTTGAATAGTTTTTTTTTTTTTTTTTTTTTACTTTTATCATATTATTAAATTTTTATAGAAACGGACATGAGAGAAAAAGAGACGTGGTAGATGTGATTAAAAGAAGGACCGGGCGCGCGATGGGTGTTTTTGTGCGACGGCTGTGCTTACGAATTAAGTATGTGCGCGAGTGTTGCTGATATCATGATGGTTATTCTTTTCACGACAAGTCACAAGTGCGAGGGAGAGAGAGAGAGAGAGAGAACAATTGACTTTCGTATGTGAATTTTTTTTTTTTTTTTTTGTTTTTTCGAACGAGTCAGGTGTAAAATCGGATGTAATATTTATATTATTACTATTTATATGCATTGTGGCGGGCCACGAGGTCGCTGACGAGCGTGCCCACCCGTATTTATTACGCCTGTATATTTATCTTCGATCCTTTTCCTATTCGTACCAGTTAAAAATATGTGTATATAATTTTTTTTTTTTTTTTTTTTTTTATAGTGCT